TTTTAATGATCCTGAGAAATATAAATGGTTTGTTGGAAAATTAAGCTATCTTAATATGACTCATATGGATATTGCTTTTGTGGTAAGTATTGTTAGCTAATTGATGTTTGTGCCTACGATCAAACATTGGGTTGCCTTGACATAAAATTCTATGTTACTTTGAAAGGGGTCCTTGGCATATTGTATAGCAATCACAATCATACCTGTGTTGGGTAATCTGCAAATTCAGACTATAATTGATCCAAAGTTGGTAGGAGATCGATTTGTAATGTCCCATTTTTTTGTAATTTTGTTTTTAATTGTGAAATGACCATTATTCCCTTCTTTGTAGCACTTTCATACTTAGTTTGTGTTTCGAGATGGTTGGTGTAATCCCCAATGCGATCGAGTGTGTTTTTAATAATTTGACCCTTCTTGAGTAGAGAATTCTTGATAGGTTGAGTTTGGTCAACATTTTGAGTTTTGAGCATTGTATGGGAATTCCGTTAGTTCCATCGTGCCCGAAATGTCAAGTTTGAGAAAGTACAATGGTTGGTAAGGTTTTCGAGGCCTTAGGTTGAGAGTTGGGTGTTTAGGCGAGAAGTTGAGCTTAAGGCCTAAAGAGAGGTCCAGTCTATCAAAACAATATTTTTTCAAAAATCAGACAATTCTGTTGAGTCCGAATGTCGAATTTAGTAGGGTAGCATATTTGGTTTATTTTTATCGAGTCTCGAATGAATACCGAGGGTCCGTTCGGAGACTTTAATAAGTAAGGGAGCTGATTTTGCTAATGTTGACCTCGGTCAACATAGTCAACTCATGGTCAAATATTCAATTAATGGCTAAAATCAACCCCCTTTCTTCCATTTCACTTTCTTCTCCATTTTGGAAGCTTGGGAGGGAGATTTGGGAAACATTTTCTTGAGAAAAACTTATGTGTGACATCATGACCTCGACTTTTGGGTCGTGATACGACTACATGTTATTGTGTCTTTGTTGGTGGGAACCTAGTTTCATGGAGGAGTAAGAAGCAAATTGTTATATCTTGATCCAGTGTAGAATCCGAGTATAGATCTATTTCATAGTCTGCGTGAGAGATTATGTGGATACATCATATTTTAATGGAAATTAGCCCAACGGATCATACACCAGCAGAAATTTGGTGCGATAATCAAGCTACTCTTCATATCGCCTCAAATCCGGTGCATCATGAAAGAACTAAACATATTGAGGTTGAGTGTCATTTTATTCATGAGAAAATTCAGGAGAACTTGATTTCCACTTGCTATGTTAAAACAAGAGAGCAACTAGCTAATTTGCCCACAAAGGTGTTACATTGATCTTGAATTGATCATCTTTGTAAAAATTTGGACGATCAATATCTATGCTCTAACTTGAGGGGGAGTATTATAGAATGTATATAGATTTCATTTCTAGTAAAGTACATAACCTTATTCAGATAGCAGATTTATAGGAATAAGCGGATTTATAGGAATCATATTTTATTTCATTTCTAAGTTAGAACACAATCTATTGTATTTGTACATTGCTTATCTATTGGAATAAATAGTCTTTTTCCATCTGATTACATGGTATTAGGTCTATCCCCATTTGCGTTCCCAGTCGACGCTCTAGTTGGGTCTGAGCGTGAAGGGGTTAGGGGTGTTAGGGTGGGTAAAAGTCCCACATTGGTAGGAAAATGGACTGGTGGTCTTCTTATATGGACTTGAGAAATCCTCCCCTCATGAGCTACCTTTTTGCATTGAGTTAGGCACAAATGTCAATACCTTTACAAATACCATTAGTTCTCCATTGCTTCCTTAGAAGTTGTGCATCATGTCCTCCAAAATATTTACACACAATCTAGGTATGATGCTTTACAAAGCTTAACTTGGTTACTAATACTTAACTATCCATGAAGGTGTGGACTCGAAACGTACAAAGGATACATAAAGCATAGAAAACACCGCTTTGGCAAAACTCTCTCTACCCACCTATACTTTCTCTCCGTAACATTTCGTTTTGCCTATCATGGTTGTCATTTCACTTTTTAAAACTTCCTATGTATGACTGTATGCATGCCTGGACACTTGAAACTCTATGTATATTGGGAATAATGTCACGTCTTTCCTGTTGGTTTCACTACTTTTACATTACACCAAAATGATCTTTAGTGACAATTAATTAAAGATAATAACTTAATTGCCGCTAATATGTTATTTAGAGGCAATTATCACTCTATGTAAATGTCCCAAAAGTATATAGTGACATTGGATCCACGGGCAATTAACTGATGTTGATAAAGACTTTAGCACTTTCTGTTAATGTGCCTACTTATTGCCGCTAAAACAACTTTTTGTTGCAATGTACATTTGTAAGCCATGAAAGTACAATGGCATTACACTATATCTATGACCGTAAATCCTGAGAGTTTTCTTTCGGTCTCTCAATGGTTCCATTAACAAATCCAACCTTGTTTTTAGAGTGAAGTGCGTTCAAAAAAATTAGTCTCCAAGTGAAATAGTTTTCTCCATTTTCACTAAGAGGATTGGTAACAAAAATGAAATCTGGGTGGTCTGATGGATGCAAGGAGTTGGAAGAAGCGTCTGCGACTTTTGGTTGAAGAAGACTCGCTTGTTCGTCAGTGCGTCCTTCAGTTCCGATGGCTGAAAAAATTTCTCAGGATCTTTTAATACGCTTCTGATACCATGTAAAATAAGATTACCCGAGTGAATCCCTTTATTGATAATACATCTCAATCTCAATGTTATATACAAGTTGTACCGGCTCTATAACTAAGGAAACATATCTTTACATTTCATTACAAATATTCTGATTTATATATCTAAGGAAACATATCCTCTGATTGCGCAATCACATATGATCTTCCAATAAGCTGCAAACTGGAGAGATTACATTTTCTTTAAAATGGCTCCTAGTCCTCCCAGTCCAAAAGAATTTCCAAGACCATGTAGGTATATGTTCTGCATATGAATTAGAAAGCCAACCAATAATTGAATATGTGTTATGCGGTGATAAAAGTTGAGATGTGGTGTTTCATTAATTTTACAAAATTGTTGCAGGGAAATACTTATGGACTACTCTAAGCATATGATGGAATTGGGTTATTCCTTGCTTTTGGTCTTGATCGTTGTCATCTCAAAGATATGGATTGCGCGGAGGGGCTTGGTGTTTTGGCCCTTTACTATCCAGCATGCCCTCAGCCAGAACTGACAATGATTTTCTCACAGTGCTTCTACAAGATCACATCGGACGACTTCAAGTGCTTCACCAGAATCAATGGGTTGATGTTCCTCCTACGCGTGGTGCTCTTGTGGTCAACATTGGAGATTTTCTGCAGGCTAGTTTTCTTTTTCTTTTCTAATCCATGTACGATCGATAAGAGTGAATATACCATTTGCTTATTTTGGTTGCTTTTTCAAATCATATCAAATGATAAGTACATAAGTGTTGAGCACAGAGTATTGGCAAACAAAGTTGGACCAAGAGTATCAGTTCCATGCTTCTTTGGCACAGATTCAATGCCATCTTCCAAGCTTTATGGACCGTTTTTTGAATTGTTGTCAGAAGATAACCCGCCAAAATATCATCAACCATAGTGAAAGACTATCGTGAGTACTTCTGTAAGAAAGGTCTAGATGGAACTTCTGCATTGTTGCGTTACAAGATCTAATCTTAATGTAATCAATTAATTTATTATGAGAACGAAGAAGTTTTCTTTGGATGCTGGTTATTACCTATTGTATTGTATCGTCTTGTTACTTTAAATACAACGTTTGTTTGTAAAGACAACTTAAGTTTTGTTGTATCGTGTTGTTAAATCCTTTGTTATGTAATGACAAAAAGTTTCATTTTATATATGTAACAAACGATTTAAAAGCCTTGAGGCTGGTATCAAAAGGAAATGTTGATGCTGGAAAACACCGAAGTGCCACGAATATTCGTTCCACCAACTAAAATAGACAAATCTGTATGCAGTTGTGAAACAAAGTTCATTTTTCCAGTGATAGATCCAATTAAGCGTAAAGAGATTGTGGACAAAGTTTGAGAAGCATCGGAGACATGGGGTATAAATTTTTCCACGTCATTGATCAGGTCATTCAATTAGTTTTCCTATTGTATAGGTTGAACATCGATTGAATACATGTGGCACTTGAGGGAAAGAACAAAGAGACCTGGGAAAGTTTGTTACCTGAGAAGGCGTTCTCGATAAAGGGAAAGCAAAAAAAATGCTACAAGTTACGAAAGGTTCGGAAACTTATGACGTGGACAAAGAGACAAAGGGGGACAAAATGTTAGAAGGATCAGATGCGTGGAGGAGCTCATACAGATCTGAAGGTTGCAGGAATATCAACTGGAATCACCTATGCACCCTCCGTCATTGGTCTTGGTACTTGAGAAATTACCACAATAATTATATCATCTTGTTAGTCAAATTTATTTTTACTTAGCATGATTATCATTTCTCTGAATATTCCACACAAGTTCATTAAATATATAGGCTTATAGTATTTTCATACCTTATAAGCTTTAGCACCTAGAGATGATGGAGATGAACATGATGGATCTTTGGGAACAACATAAAAATGATAACACCATATTTTCTTCATTTGACATAGTTGAAATTGATCCATTAGTTGAAATAAAAGAAAGATGTCTCCATCCTTACGATTCATCAAATCTCTCTTCTAATATAAAAATAGAAGTACATAAACTAACATAGATTAAATAGAGAAGAAAATCCAACATAAAAAAAATATTGGAAGAATTTTTTTTTTCATCTTTTGCTACCTTCTAAAAGTGAAGTTAAAGCCAAAATATATAGGCCACAAGGTAGAAAGAGGACATCAAAATTATTAAGTAATATTAAAGTCTTAAAGGATATGCAATGTATATGAATTGTCTATAGTAAATTGCAAACTTTGAAATAGTAATCAGAAATAAGAATTCAAAGAGTTCTTGTTCAAAACTTGTAAAACTTAAAATCCCATATCCGTGTCTCATTTTGGACGAAACTCGACTCCTTCAACAATGAGTCCACCTTTGTAAGTATGATTCATCTCAAATAGTCTTGCTTCAACAAGACCTTCAATCCCTTTCTTGCTATCAAAATATCCCAATTTTACTTCCATCCATCCATCTCCTCTCATTTTTGGGATATTCCCACTTTCTTGCAATCTTGGAAGGTGCACAATGTTGTCCTGATTTTCAGTATCAGTTTCACTCTCATAATTAACAAACCTAATACTTGATTTAGCATATTCAAGTCTATAATCACACATATTTACCAACTTGAACACCAAATAAGCATTATATTTTGTCTTTGGTGACAACATTTCTGTGCCTATTGTTCCACAAATATCCAATTGATTCCCAATGATAAGATATGCCACTTCAGAGAATCTGCAAAAGCATTGCGAGAAACATTTGTAAGGAAAATTTATTAATCTTTTAAAAAAAAGATATGTAGGACTTTAACTATTTAGTAGGTGTACCAGATATGAATGTAAAAAAAAATTAAAAGATTGAATCATACATGGTATTATTTAGTTAACTTTTTATAGCAGTTTTTTTATTTTTACCATCAAAACATTGACAAGAACCAGTGCACCATGTCTGTGCCATATAAAGACCATTATCGGTGGGGTAGTTATGACATTCCTATTAAATCGTCTCCATTCAAGGGCATGAACCACCTTTTCTAAACTACAGATGAATATTAACCATCTTTGTTGTGTCCTAATTGACCCTCATTAATCATATCATATAATATTATTTTACTATACTATGCTAATAGAGGGAAGCTCTTAACTTCAAAGTTTAAGTACTAGCCTTTAGCTACTCAGAAGCATTTTCTACCAAGAATTTTTTCATATCCAGAGTTTGAACCTGAAACTTCTAGTTTAGAGAGGAGCAACCCCATCCATTGCCCTACATTCTTTAAAGTTAATATTTGCTCTTAGTTGTTATATTAATCTAACATCTCATATCCCAATTCATTGTTTGTGCAAATTTTTCACGTTGAGCCACTATCAGTTATGGAGTCATAATTAACAGTTAGTCTCTTCATCTACCCAATATGAATATGCATATAGAATACATAATGTTTGATTCAGTGCATATTAAAATGAAGGTCATAATTATCATAACTGTACGCTACACATAAATGAAGGTAATATCATCTTTCACATTCCAATATTTATTTGCTTGTCCTTTAAGTTTCTACTGTTACAATAACATTTATGCGTAGCTTTTAGTTTGTAATTTATATAAGTAAGACATCAAAGTGTAAAATCATTTGATTCTTTTCCTTTTTGTCCACGACAATCTACTCTTTTTGACTGTTATATTTTGGTCAGCTTCAGAAATAATGCCCAATAATTTCTTTTTCAATTAAAAAACCTTTGTTTTTACCAGTTTCTACTATTTAGGTTCTTATATATCTATGAGCTAACTTGTAATATTTTATTGTATGCTATCTATCAAGTTAAGTGATCGGTGTTCGGTCTCCAAGCTTTGGAGCACCAAGCATCAATGACAGAATTCATAGAGAGGGAGAAGTCAGTGTAAAGAGAAGAGGAAGGAAAGCAAACTACTTTGTTGAATAAAACCTCTCGAAGGAAACGTATTTGTAGATCAATAAAGTTGCAGACCAAATAGAGAAAATGAAAAGAGATGAACCTGGAATCGCGGCGTGCACCCCATTGCCAAGAGAATTCATCATCACTATCTAAAATTATGAGCTCTCTCGGTGCTATCATAAAACACTTCTTCCCACTATGCTTATCAAGAAAAAAATTTTGAAATAGAAAAAAACAAAAATTTAGTTTGATTAATCTAAATTTACATCATGTAAGATCAAAGAAAGTGTTTCATAGTATTTTTTTTTTCATTTCCAAGCATTTTAATCTTACTTGTTTGGATGGTTACTACAGAAATATAGTTTCACAATGTATCACATTGTATTCTTTTAATGAAATCATGTTTGGATAGATTGTTTTCCATGTTATGTCACATATCAACAATTGAAGATTATAAACCTACAATATTATAAAGAAAAATAGCACACGTGGTAAAGTTCTTATAGAAAAAGGGTATAGACTTTGATAAAATAGGATTATAAAGTAATAAGAAAATGAAAATATAGTAAAGACACACACCACATCAAATTATTCATTATAGAACTTGAGACTTTCATCTTTTTATAATGATGTATTTATTGATATATTAGAATAAAATTTAAGTAACAATCAATATAAATATTGTGATTAAAATAAAATATGATACAACAGAATATAATAGATAGCAAGCACTCACAGGGAACATTGTTCAATTTGAATAACCTAAACTTTGGAGAGAGAAACGGAATAAAAATTGGGACTTATATTCCCCCCTACCCAACAAAATGAGTATAAAATAAACATCAATTGTGATAAGTGTGGCAATCAATGAATTGAATAGAAAATTATAAGAGATTACATTTTAAATTTTGGTGAATATAAAAAATAAAATACAAGGTGATCATTTCTTTTTACCTATTTGAGCTATCCGAGTACTTTGGTATCAGGAGAAGAGCTAAAGGAAGGAAAATAGTTCAATTGAATCACCTTGCTTGAAATTAGAGCGACACAAATAGGGTTAAATGGTTATTTTAAATTATATATGGACTATTGAATTCACTTAATATAAGGAAAATTTCTAGTTTAGTAACAAAGAGAGTTCATAGATCATTTTAATTAGCTTCTGAGTTGAACCCTAGGTGTGACACCTTGTATTTTTTTTTATCTCTATACATGATTTTTTTACTCCTTCACTATCTGGTGCATGTGTTGATGAGAGGTAGAAACATATGAAGATATTAATTAAGGATTCATCTTAACCCAATACTTCCATATCGGAGCATGACTTTATGTGTAAAAAATCATGATAAATATAACAACTAGTAGATATGAACCCACAATATTAAAAATAACAAGTTAAATATTAAGAACCTTGAAATTTAATCCATAAAGATGAAATCTTGATTTTGCCTCATGTGAGAGGTGGCATGTATCAATAAACAATTTAGGTATGTACACACAATCAATATTAAATAGAAAAATAACTAAAATCATAAAAAATAACCACATCAAAATAAAATTTTACCAGTTTGCCTCCATCAAGGAGAATGGGAGAATCACACAAACGGAAAAAGAGCTCCTTTTTGGTGTTGCAAACAAGAGGAAACTCAGATCTATCAATTATTTCTTGATAATCACGGGGCAAAAATCTTCTCCAAATTTCATCTAATTCAGCAACAAATTTGAATCCTTTGGATAAAATTATTGATCTTACTGCATCTGTTGAAGTTGTTTTTGAAATGATTTCAAATTTGCAACCTTCTGACAAGCTTTCAAAATAATCCATTGGAGCAATGAAGTTGGAAGAATTCATGTCATAACTCATACAAAAATATATAACAATTACTTTTGTTCAAAACTTTATATTTGAATAAATAATCAAAAGGGGAAAATATTTTAATTAAAAATATGTATTGTCAATTATAGTTATAAGTACAAATAAGCATGATATTATGTTTTTCTATTGTAGTTTGACTATATAGTACATTAATATTTATTTTTATATTAACTCCTTCCTTACTCAATTAGTGCTCAGTCATTATTTACCCTAATAAGATACAAAATACTGAAAAACACCTTCACACAACATAAATTTTATGATTTAAATTATTTAAAAGAATAAATAGAAAATACAATCAATTTGTCAACACGATTTTACAATAAAAATTATAAATATAAAACTTTTTGCTTCTTGGAATAAAGTTTAAATAATTAATCTCTTATTTGGCCATAGATTTTAAAATTTAAACTTGAAATTTATTTTTTGAAAAAAAATGATTTTGAGCCATATTTTTGGAAATGAAAAATATTTGAAGATCTTATCAAATTTCATGGTCAAATACCATCCAAAAAAGAAAAGAAAATAAACAATATACTTCAAATATTTGGTGCACTAAATCCTTCATTATTTAAATTATATAATATATGATATTTGTATAAAGTAAATAAGCACATCATACATTTTTTGTAGGGGTCAAATGTTGATCAGTTTTTATTTATTCAACGTGTAGTACTCTTTTTTATTCTGTACAAATAATAACACATGAATATCATATTATTTTTAAAATTTCACTCTTCTGAATAATTATAAAATAGAAGATGAGGAATATATATTATCAACCTTTTCATTTACAACTAGTTTAATATCAAAAATCTTAAAATCAAATAAATTCGGGAAACGACTTAAAAACCACTCAAACATCAATTGTTATACACTCTAATTTTGGGAGGATCGTATGAAACCCTTGTATTATTTTAAAGTGGAATAGATGCCCATATATATGTTTATGTGGCAGAAAGAGTGAAATACACCTTCCTTAAGAGAGTGAGAAGTTATATTCTTACTTTATTTTATTTGTATCTCTCTCTCTCTTATCACCTTAATCAGAGTTATTTAAATTAACACAACATATTAAAATGGATCCTTCCTAAAATCATAGATCAAAACAGACAGTTTGCCCTCAAATAGACAAACTATACCAAACAAATTTTAACTCCGTATGTTCACCCCAAAATACATCACATATAATTTAAGACATTTCACTCATAAACGGGTGTACTACAGTTTCTTTTATTAGTTAACTTTTCATGTATAACTACATCTCTTCTTCAACAATAAATATGAGGTTATTCACTTCACATTTTCTCATTCATATTTTATCTTCTTCTACTTATAATATTGTATTTTGGCCTTTAAAACTTGATAGACATGTCTCAACAATTCGTAAGGTATGTACATTCAATTGAACAAGATGCATCTAAATGCAAAGAGTATTATCAAATAAGTTTTGATAATGTGTGCATTCAAAGGTAGAAATTTTAAGTTTTACGCTTTAAAATATCTAGATATCACTACAAAAAAGGGTGGAGGTTAAAGTTCCAAATTGTTGGGGTTTAGAACCCTGCTAGTTACTGTTACAGGGGTTTCAAGGACTCCTGTAGTTACGTGTGCCACAATTAATTTGTGGCAGTTTTTAAGCTACCCCGGCAACAATTTGCGGCAATCAAATAGCGACAGTTTTAACCTCCCTTATCTATTTCAAGAAATAATTTCATGGAGTTTATAACCTCTGCCAATCATTTTTATAAAAGTTTAGTACCTCTTTTTCAATCCCCGTGCCTATACCTTAGATGTGGCTGACACCCGAGAACCATCGTTGGTCCCAAGCGAACCCTTGGCCCTCAATACTCAGTGGAAGACTTACTCAACAATATAAGAACTCAAATGCAAAACTTAACTCATAATGTCTCATTAATAAAATGGTTTAACTCAAAACTATCTGAAATACTCAAATGATTATAAGTGTGCAACTCACAAGGGAAATGGGAAAAGACTCCTTAACTACTATTGTCTATGAAGCCTCTAAATACTATGATGGAAGTCTGCACAAGACCCACGATATCCTAACAAAATTGAAATCTAATTGTGGAGCCCTCCGGAAGCAAGGAGGCTCTGGAATGTGATGGGATCAACGAAACGCCGGTTGGTGATCCTGAACACTTGTATATGCATCATGAAACGATGCAGGCCAAATGACATCAATACATTGAATGTACGAGTATGCAAGGGGAAAAATGAACATAGGGATATATAGTTGAACTGATAGAACGGGAAACATACTCACCGCAACTCAACTCAACATGAAAGAAACAATAAAAGATGCAATATATAAAGCTTTTAAAATAGTAGATAATAACTCAAATGTATATAAAAATATAATAATAAACTCCTTACTCTTATTTGGGAGATTCTCTAACCGACAACCATCACTATGATCTACGTAATGATACAACGTCTCGTCCACGCTGTCAGAACTGTCCTATACCTTGCCGGGGTATAGAACATCCTCAACTAAGTGGATCCACTAAGATAATCATCTGAAAAGTATGATCTTTTACCCATGTTGGCATATATGGTTTATAAGGATTTTGAGTTGTCTGAACTCATCCCCATATCGGTGCTCAATACTACTCCCAATAATATGTAGAACTCATTCTCAAATGTATAAAAACATAACTCATCCTGGACTTGAGATAATTACTCAAAAGATTCTCTTAAAAGAGATACTGCTCAAAAACTCCTCATGAACTTGTTTAGAAATTAATGTTTCCTCTCGTTTTAAATGTAAAAGTGTTTACACTTGGGAATAATTAGTTCCCTTATACTCATTTTTAAACATGAAACTCAACTCTCCTCATTTTCTTACTCATTCACTCAAGTCTTAAAACAAGTTTTATAAGATTGTAAAAGACTTCTCAAAATGATTCAAAAAGGTTTCTCGAACTCTACTCTTAATCTTTACTCAGATTTGAAATGAAGATTTAAGAGTTATTATTAGGATATATATGATCTCTCGATGACTAATGAAGACTTAGATAATCGGTAATAAGAAGAGTGTGAAAACACTACATAGCGAAAACAAGCTAAGAACTAACTGAGATAACAACTACAACTAACTGACTAAGCTAACAGTTAATTAAGTTAGTCAACAACATATAATTAACGCAACTAACTATATGTATAAATACATTCTCAATACATCCCCCTCACAAGCGGGATATGAGGCCTTGATAGCCAACTTGAACATGAGGCAAGTTTGTTTTACACCAGTGAGAGCTTTGGTGAGTAGGTCAGCCAATTGAGCTGTGGTAAAAATATGATGAAGAGAAATAAGACCACCTTGGAGCTTATTTCAAACTAAATGACTGTTAACTTCTATATGTTTGGTTTTCTCATGAAAATATCAATGTGTAGGATAGATTGACTATCAAAATGTACCGTAATAGGTTTAGAGAAAGGAACATCCAATTCTGGCAAAAGTATGTCCACACAAACAAGCTCACCAACAACTTTCCTCAATAACCTGTATTATGCCTCTTCTGAAGATAAAGATATAGTCTCTTGTATTATGACCTCCTTAAGTGTTCTTCACGGAGAAGGATCACATGAGCTTCATCTCCAGGATCGATATCCCATTCCATCAAAAGGTAACTGAACAAGCATTAACCCAGGCTGTCTGAGGGATGCATGTATAGAGGATCACTCTCATTAACAACACTAGACGGAATTAGAAGAGGAAAAAGATGCATCAGGGGAAATTGCCATTGTAAAATCAGTGGAAGTAAGTAAAGTAACACGTAATTTCTGCGAATTGAGAAAATGCAAAAAATATATAATAATAGCTACAGAGGTACCTAAAGTAGAGGTAGCTAGACTTAAAAACTCTAGTACCGACAATGGCATTGATACGATATCAAGTTCAGTGATCGGTGTTCAGTCTCAAAGCTTTGGAGCACGCACCAAGCATCAATGGCAAAATTCATAGAGAGGGAGTGTCTTATCCAGTCAATAAAAAATTGTGTAAGAGTAGATTTATTAATGCTTGAAGCCGTGACTCAAAGTAATATCTTGGTAGGATGCCAATAGTGGTGGACTAGACGAAAGAGGGGTGCTAGTTATGACCAACCAGTAAGAGTGGTGGCCTGGATCAAAAGAAGTGTCTGTTCAGATGTTGGACACAACTGTTTGCCTTACAACTTTAATTTTATTATTGCTAAGTAAGGACTAACCAGGGACGGAGCCAACAATATGTCAGGTCCGACTAAGATTAAGGCAAAAGAGTAACTTGGTATATATTTATGAAAGTAAAAAATGAAGCGTGCGTGAAATATCTTTATATAAAGCTGGACATAATTAACATCTATGTTCGATTTAAAGAGGATGTTACCTAATATGTAGTGTCTTTGTATATAATATTACATCAAATTTGTAGGAATTTCTGAGATTATTTTGGATTTCTTTTCCTTAGTTATAATCTTGTTCGTATTTAAAGGTTGATTCATTGAGTGATGATATATGAATTTCCCCATAACCTTTATAACATAAATGCCGTAGTTGTGTCCGTTCACTAGAAAATAAAAGGAAAAAGAGTTTAAGTTCTACACATTAACGATGTATACATTATTTACACAAAAATTAACTTACTTAGAAAATCAATTGAGAGTTGTTATTACCAATTATAAAGAATATTGAAGAGTCTAATTTTTTAAATGGAGCTTGTAAGTGAAAAATTACAATATAACAGAATTACAATTGAAAATAAAATGAAGAAATAAAATCTCTTCAAGGCTGAGGCGCGGATATCTCACTATCTTTAAGGAGATTCAAGTCCACTGCATCAAATGTTTTTCACCGGTCCAGTAGTAGTCCTTCTTGACTTGTCCCCTCCAGGATACAACAACCTAATCACAAAATATAACTCAAAAACTCTGGACAAGAGTTGAGTCCAAAGCTCCACAAAAAGAACACCTCCC